GGGGGGTTTCTGGTGCAAGAACGAGGATGTCCTTACTGCCCAACGACCTCCACACTCCAATCTTATTCGCCTCTCTCCTATCCAGGAGGGGAAAATCGAGTTTTCGGAACACCCAACCCTCTTGACCGCCGTCTCGCTTTAGTATAAGCACGATGGGGCAGCGACATTCATGTTCGGGGCAATCATGGCCATGTTATGGCCGTGGTAGTGTGCAGTTTAGCTCTATCAGGAAGAACGTAAAAAGACTCAGGCCAAAATTTGTTATTTCGAACCGTGTTCGTTCCGTATCTTACCTGCCTGTTTCAAGCGAGGATAGGTGCCGAAAGTGCCTCAGTGATCGAGCGAGAATGGGAGACAGGCGAAAAGCCGCGCACGGCACGAAGTCTCGGTCTGGTATCAGCGCGTCAGCCTCAGTAACACCACTAACCCTTATTGCCTGATTTCTTAGGACGGCTTACCGTTCCAAAGTGGTGGCCATCTCGGAGTAGCCGCCTCATCGCGCCACACCAAAATCGACTCGTCGTTGTATTTGCGTACCAACTCGCGCTGTAATCTCACAAACGCGCGTTCTCCGCCTTCGCCGTATAGCAAGGGCAGTTGAACATCGAGTAGGCCAAGAAGACTATATGCGTGGTCTTCCGGACGGGTTGTTTCTCGCCCCGCAGCCCAAGACAGTCTGGTCCCTACGCAGCATGGGCCGATGTTTTGGAGGTGCGCAATCCAAATCCCCGTAGCATACTCTATTGCTGTGGCCAAATCCCTCCGAGATCCAATTGGCTTCGAGTGCATGTTGAGGAATTCGAGCACAGTCGGTGCAAGGAGTTCTTGAAGGGTCCAACCCCCAGTGAACCACCGGCTGCAGTGAAAGGACGTTCAGTGAGGATCGTCTGGCACATCCGCTAGATAGGCGTAACAGACCTCGGCAGATTGATACCACTGGAACATGGAGTTGATGGCCTCGCCGACCTCCGTGTTGTTGTTTTGGTCAATGCAGCATGTGTCAATTCAAATGTATTCCCATCGGTTAGCGGAGGCGTATAGGCACGCATTGATGATCTTTGACCAGCCCGCTTTGCGCCTTCCTGTGTCAGAAGTCAGGTCTTGCAATGACACCTCGTCGCCGCCCCAGGTGTGGGAAAGAATCGCATAACGCGGAATGTCCTTGACGTATTCCACCAAGGCGAGAGTCCGTGTATTGAGGAGCCTCATTGTGACTCCAAGAATTGACTGTGATGCCAGCGACGTCGAAGTTCGATTCCCGGCCGTAACCCGGGAGAGGCTTGTTGTGTAAAGAGCAAGAGTTCGCGGTTGTCCCGCTGATAAACAAGTCTGATGATTGTCTGCTCCAAAACCGGCCTGGACTCTTCAAGCCTCCCGATTTGAACCAATCATGAGCAATCATGTCGGGTTGTTGTAGCTCGCGCGACCGGTATCTTTCTCAAGGCATTTCGCAAATCACATCTCATTAGCTGTTTCGTTAGGCGAAATGGCCACAAGTACCCCAGGGGAGTCCTTCATGCCGTGGTGGACTGGAAGTTGGCAATGTTGACACAGCAACCCCTGACGCGGTCGTTGGCTATATGACCTTCGCTCCTGGTTGCAGTAATAAGATTTGATGGAAGTGATACCAATAAGAACAAAAGATCATCACAGCCAGTTGTAGACATCAGCGCGATGTAGCCACCCAAGCCACAGGTCAGATATCGGGACAGCCGCCCCGCATGACGTCATTCTGGCTGTTGTCTGTCCCTTTCCTCCGACCTTCCTAAAGCATTTCGGCTTCTTTGGGTTGTTATTTCCGTATTATAAGCGCTTGGCTGGAAAATCAGAAGGACAAGAACGAGCGTGGGATTTGTTCCCATCGTTTCGTTCTTTTTCATCAAATGGCTCCCTCAATTATTTCGTGAACCTGTCGCTTCCACAGTCCTGCCCATTCTGTCGGCCGAAAACATCCAATCCTGAACCTCAAGACGACTACCAAGCAACATGGTGGGAAGAAGACCCAGAACTGTCAACTCGGCCACCGATTGGCACGGGACCACGACGTCTCGTCGGCCCTCGTCCATTCGCCGACGATATCGTGATGACGACGAAGAATCTGGACTCCCTATTTCCAACGTCTCCCCTGGCAATCATCGCGGCCCTCGCTCCACCGAGCCCACTTCCACGCAGAGTACTACCCCGGCTGCCCCCACGCGGATCCCCTCCCTACACGAAGTCCAAATCCACGACAACCGCGCCAAGATCACCTCCCTCAGCGGCTTCAAGGATGCTCGACACTTGGTCGTCGCCGAACAGCGCCGCAACGATTTGAAACAGAGGGTACTCGATGGCATGAAGGGCCTCTCCTCCTGGGAGGAACACCATCACAAGTCCGATGCCGAGCTCAAGGCCATCAAGAACAAAAAGATCAGGAGATACTACGAATCCCAAAATGAGACACTCGATAGTTGGGTCGAGGTCGACGCCTTGGTCATGGCCGTTTCCGACGATATCATCGACAGCATGAACCCCGATGCTGATAGAGACGGCATCGCCGAACGCCGTGTCCCTCTCGCAGACTCCAAAGGCGCCGTCGAAGCCTTTCTGCCGCCCGAGCACATCGAGAAGCGCCGCCGTGACGATCGAAACGCGAGATGGGCGATAAACACGAACATTATTGCGAATATCTTCATGCTCGTTGGAAAGCTGGTCAGTTTGCGCTTTAGCCCATCGCTTTCGTTGGCTGCCAGCACCGCAGACTCGGCTTTGGACTTGTTTTGTACCTTGATCATCTACGGCACGAATCGCATCGTTTCGTGGCGTCTCCGCGCTCTACAGCTCAAGTACCCCGTCGGAAGACGACGCCTTGAACCCATCGGTATTCTCGTCTTCAGTGTTATCATGGTTGTTTCCTTTATCCAGATCCTCCAAGAGTCGGTTACAAAGTTGTTACCCGGCGGCGATAGAGATGTTGCGCCTCTGCCTCCTGTTGCCATTGGAGCCATGGCTGCCAATGCCGTCATCAAGGGCATCATCGGGCTCATATGCAGACCCATCAAGACGACGCAGGTACAAGCTCTGGTGCAAGACTGCAAGACCGATGTGTACTTCAACACCGCATCTCTCCTCTTTCCCCTGATTGGTGTTGCTGCCCAGATCTGGTGGCTGGACCCCCTTGGTGCAACATTGTTGGCCATCTATGTCATCTGTGACTGGGCTGAGACGTGTATCAAGAACATCAGCCGGTTGACAGGAAGCAATGTAGACGATGCCTTGCAGAAGAAGTTGATGTATCTCGCCTTCCGCTTTTCCCCTGTTGTAGCAGGCTTCAAGTCGTTGACGGCATACCATGCTGGCGATGGTGTTTGGGTTGAGCTGGATGTACTGTTGGATGAGAGAACTTCGCTCCCTTTGGCACATGATATTGCCGAGACACTGCAGTATTGCTACGAGAGTCTTCAGGAGGTCGACAGGGCCTTTGTCACGGTGGATTACTCTACCTTGGGCCCGACAGGACATAACCAGTGTCATTGACCAACACCCTATGGTCGGGAAGGCGGTTTCGATTGTGGTATGCCATTGAAGGATCACTCCACGGACTACTTTCCCCCGAGCCGAGTTAAGACAATGAGATTTTTCATGTTAGACGGTCGGGTCTGGGTGTTGCCAACAACAATCAAGTAACCCAGCTTCTTCGTTTTCGTGTTCCAGACATGCAGTGTGACAACAGCCGGCTGAGCCCAACATGGCAGGTTCTCAAGAACAACAGACCTTGGGGAGCGGGGCTTCAGGCACACGGAAAGAATGGGCACGGAAAGTGAACATTCCGATCATTTCAACATCCTGCTTCTCGGCAGGGCTATCTGGAACTTTCATCTTGACGTTCTGTGGCAACGCCATTCCACTAACACTACTCTAACCAGATTACATCGGACACTCACGATAAGAGATGCCGAGCGGGATGGCGTTAGCACCGTGGTGCACCTAATGACGGTGCAAAGCTTGGCTGGTAGCACTCAACTGCCCATCGGACCAAGAAAAGGTGGTATCTGCCGGCCTTGGCTGCATGCAATATAGAGATCTCTCCACCTTCCGTATTCATCACCAAGATCATCACGCAACATTGTACCGCATTGTCGGAATGCCGTGGCACTCAAACTCTTCTCCAGTCACGAACCACTGGTGAAGAATATACGGATCCACGAACTTACAATATGAGGCAGAGACTGGCTAAGAGAACCAGGAGGGAAACGTGGGGTCTCCGTACCCGCGGTCTCGCCCCCTGCTCGGTACACGAGAGCCGAGCCCGTAGAGCCTCCATCTCTTGGCTAGATACCGCCATCCCCGCTCCCAAGGGCTAAGACTATGCAGTGAGACTACGTACGAGACCATCCAAGGCAATCCATCGTGTCAGATTTCACACCTGCCAAATTGGGTATATAACGACAGCGAGTGTTTGCATGTCGCAACTGTTGCCTTGAGCTTGACCTTCCCAGTCAAGGCGATATCGCCGGCATATCTCACAAATAGTCTCGATTTCCCCGCTCTTGGTAATCATTCGCAAGATCCAGACTGTCGATATCTTGCCAGTGCTACCGTGGGGAGAGAAACGTTAGTGAACAAGGTTGTGGTGTCGGGATTTACACGGTTCATGACGATCGACGTGATCCGTCGTCAAGGGCAGCAAGGCACACAAGTATAAGACCAGATCACCCCCTTGCGTCAACTTGGAGATATCTTGACTCCCCATCTCATCTTGTTGGACTCAGCCCGCAGAGACAAGAATCAACCCAACATGAGAACCTCCGTCTTTGCCCTCGCGGCGTCCCTAGCCGCCCTGGCCTCGGCCAAGGAGAAGGCCGTTGACATGAGGGTCAAGGCCGAGCTCTACGACAATGGAGCCAGACATGAGCACATCATGGCCCTCAAGCACGTAAGCAGAAACTCTCCACCCCCCTCCCTTGCATCCCTATCTCTCTCTGTTTTTCACAAACACAACACTCACACATTACAACACCACAGCAAACCTGGGCAGAACTCGACGCCGCCGGCGTCTACGACTCAACCCAGTACAAGAAATTCCCCTCCTCCAAGCTCGACTACGTCCCCTGCAAAAAGGGCTACGCCTCCTACGTCGCCAACGACCCCAAGTACACCTTCCGCTGCAACAACCTTGACCTCTACGACTTTAAGACGCACGCCGAGCTGGGTTCCGGCTCTGGCCGCGGCGCCGGTTCCTGGGGCTGGACCTCACCCAAGGGCCGTGAATTCGTCGCCATCGCTCAAGAAGACGGCACCGCCTTTGCGGAAGTCACCAAGAAAGGCAAGCTCGTCTACCTCGGTCGTCTACCGCAATACACCACCGCCGCGCCCTCTCTCTGGAGAGAAATCAAGGGATACAAGAGTTACATCCTCATCGGCTCGGAAGCCGTCAACCACGGCGTGCAAATTTTTGACCTGGCGAAGCTGCAAAATGTCGACCCAAAAAATCCCAAGGTATTCACCAATGAGGAGGACTTGGACGGGTGGTGGAACGAAGGGTTGCCGGTGGGCAGGTCGCACAATGTGGTGACGAACGAAGAGAAGAAGTACGGTGTTGCGGTGGGCTTTCAGCCGCGGACGGGCCCGTTGAAGGCCGGTTTGGTGTTTTTCGACTTGACGGACCCGAAAAACCCCAAGACGCTGGGCGGAAGCGGTGAGGATGGGTATGTTCATGATGCGCAGTGCATTGTGTATCGCGGACCGGATAGGAAGTATTATGGGAAGGATATTTGTTATGGATATGATGAGGATTCTTTGACCATGTTTGTCTTCCCCTTTCCTCTCCTTTCTTCCCTTCCTCTCTTCCTCTTCTCTCTATCTTCCCCATTTTCCCTCTCTTTTCCCTTTTTCCTCCTTCTTTGTTTCCCCTTTTTCCCTCCCTTTCCCTCTTTCCCCTTCCTCTCCACCCCCCTTCCTCCCCGCTCCCCCTCGCCTTTCCCCTTTTTTCTTAGTAGCAAAAACGCTGACAAAAAGACAGCTTCGACGTAACCGACAAGCAATCCATCCGCATCATCTCCAACACCTCCTACGAAGGCGCCTCCTACACCCACCAAGGCTGGGTCCTCGACCCCAACTGGCAAAAATACCTAATCCTGGACGACGAGTACGACGAGTACAACGCCGCCGGGCTCGGCGCCGACGGCTACCCCATCACTTACATCTGGGACATTACCTCTTTGGAGAACCCCAAGCAGACGGGCCATTACAAGGGTCTGCGTCGCGGGATTGATCACAACCAATTTGTTCACAACGGGTTTTCGTACCAGAGTAACTATGGCCTTGGGTTGAGTATCTTGGATTTAAGGAGCGTGCCGTTTGATCCTACGGGTAAGCGGATCAAGGAGGTGGCGTACTTTGATGTGCACCCCGAAGATGATGATGCGCCTGGGGGTGGAAATGTCACGTTTACGGGGACGTGGAGTCATTATCCTTTTTTTCCGAGCGGGTATATTGTTATTAACACGATGGATCGCGGGGCGTTTGTGGTTAAGAGGACGCCGGCTTCTTGGTGGCCTTTTTGAGTTCTTGAGACGGGACGGGTGACTGAAGGACCCTGCTGTGGTCTTGCTTGGTCATTGGTTGTCGATAATGAAAGAAATAAAGTCTAATGCATGATGTCTAAGTGTATACAACCCACACCACCTTCATCTGATCCCCGTTGTTCTCGACAGCCTTGCTTGATGACTGCATCCTTCCCGTTAGTCGTCCCATTTTATGCCCTTTCCAGTGTTTCTCGCACTCTTGCTTTCTCTTGTCAATGTGTCCCCCAGGTCTCCATCTTTTTAACCTAACTCATCTCATACCCCTCCTCCTCTCTCTCCTTCCTCTTCCCACGCCCAGAAAAACAACAGCAACTCCTCCACAAACCCTTCAATAAAAAGCATCCCGACGTCAAAATAGGTAAACACACCACAATCACCAGAATCCACGCCCGCCACACAGCCGGACTTGCATCAAAGGAAATCATTTTTTTTCCCTTGAATTTCCTTATCACACTTGACTCTCATCACCTGCTCTTCCCCCCTTTCTCTCCTTTCTCTCCTCTGCCGGGTCTCTTCACTATCCCCATCAACTTCACCCTTCTCTTGTTCGCTCCTCCCACGTCTACAACAAGACATGCACAACCACTTCAAGCAAGCGAATCCCAGCAACAAGATCACCAGACCAGCTGCGCCTACCGTGATCCACAACTTCCAGGGACGAGGTTTTGAACCAGCGGAAGTCGTGAACGCGTTGATGAGTGTCAACTTCCCTTGAAGCTGTGTTGGGAACACCGCTGGCTGGTTCGGTTGGGATTCCATTTCCGTTGCCATTGATTAGCCTCTCCTTTTTCGTTCTTTACCTGTCCTGCCTGTCCTGCCTGTCCTGCCTGTCCTGCCTGTCCTGCTTGTCCTGCTTCTCCTGCTTCTCCTGCTTGTCCTGCTTGTCCTGCTTTCTGCTTGTTCTGTTTCCCGCTTGTCTCGTCTTATTCTCTGATTAAGCGTGCACCAACCCCGTTAGTCTCCACCGCCCTTCCCACGTTCACGTGAGGATCTCCGGGAGGAGGACCAATTGGCTCAGTCGGGACTACAGCGGCAGGATTCAACCGGCCCAGGAGTCGTAGGTGCAATGCCCGTTGATAAGCGAACTGGGCATGGAACAGGAGGTGTCGGGTGGTGCGGCTTTGGTCGTGGTCGTGGTGGTAGGGGTAGCGAATACAGTCAAGACCGTGGTAACGATACGGGGCGTAGTAGCGTGGACGGTCACGATGGAAGTGACTGTGGCCGTGTACACGTGAGATGGAGTTGGAGTTTGCATGGGCAACGATGTTGGTGTGGGCGTCGGTTGGTTGTCTCTTTACTACAGCTGGCGCAAGAGTGTTGGTGGCGGTGTTGCTGGTGGTGGTAGAGCTTGTGGTGGTAGGGCTAACGTCAGGTGGGGTACATGCGGGACCGTGGACAATGCTAGAGATTGTCGTGTTGGAGACAAACGAGGATGCTGTGTTATTGCTGTTAATTGTCGTCAAAGGCCCGGTCAGCGTGTAGGACGTGGTAGCATCAGTAACCGCTCTCAACCACGTGGTAACGATTTGAGGCGGTGGCGTGGACGATCACAAGGGAGGTGACTAGGGCTACGGAGATGTGGGCGGTCGAATTGGAGTGAGTAACGGTGTTGGTGTTGCTCGCCTGTCTCTTCACTACTGGGGCGAGGGTATCGGTGGGCCAGATGGGTACAACGGTGATGCAGATGCCGTCTGAGCCTCCTTCGACGATGTAGTCGGGGCTGGGAGTAGCTTGGGGCGTAGAAGTGGTGGTAATGGGAGAAGTATTAGAGGTAGTAATATGGGGTGCGTTAGTGACAACGGTCAGAATGGTAGTCAGCTCTGTGGCGGTCGGGACGATGATGGTTGAGAAGAGGGTTTCGGTCGTGATGTCAGCTCCTTGATCATTCCTCTCGGCTTGGTTGTTGTCGACCGAAGGCGTGGGGAGGCTGCTGTCAATGAGAGAAGGAGACAAGTGCGTTGAAGTTGAAGTCGCGGAAGTCGTGGATGAGAGAGTGTACGCAGGCGTGCCCTGGCTTTGGGGAAGGGTAAGAGCGAGCGAGATGAGGCGGGAGATGGCGCCCAGGAGAAGCACCTGCCTGGTGAAGGCGAAGATTGGGCAGGTGCGCATGTTGTTGTTTCCCAGTTAGGTAGGTGCGATAATGGCGAAGATCGGCGATCAATCAGAACATTACAAAGGTGGCAAGTTGGAAGTGGTGCACTTATACTCGAAGCTGCCTTGGGTCACTGACAAAGGGTTGTGCCTGTTTGCTTCAATGAAGTGCTCACAAAACAGAACCCTGGGTTTTCGTTTGTCGCGATATTCGGTCGTTCGGAAGTGGAAACTGAAAGAAGCGAACTGAAATCAGGGCGGCTTAAAATATCGGAAGAGAGTGCCAGTGAATGGGCAAGCACGGACTTCAACTCAAGTCAACGGGATCCATCTTGTTATCCGAGTCCATCAAGCGGCACCTGAAGACGCCGTCGTCATCCCTACTGTCATCCCGGTTTTGACCAACGCTACAGCAGAATGGACACTCACGAATCAATCGGAGTTCTGGATTCTAGAAACGACCTACATAATCCGAGGTTCCTCAAACGTCGAACCTCTCAGGTGTGAGTTCTTGTCAGCGGCTCACTCACAGAGTTTCTCGTGCTAGATTTCCCGAATTTCGCGAGCGCAAGGGATAGCAGGAAGGGTACATGGTGGTCCTGTCTTTGTGTATAAAGCCAAGGCCAGAAGAGGGGCAGGGTGGGCGCGTTGCTAGGTTATAGACCCAAGAACCCTGGCTGATTTTCCAAGAGTTCACAAATGGTTATATCTTCATGTCATCAGGAGCGCTGTCTCAAGGTTGAATCCTGTGAGTCTGCATCATTCACTAACGTGCTGAGTCAAACTAAGTCAATGGAGAAGCTCTGCCTCTTCCGCATACAGTCATGCTCACAAGATGTTCAGACTTCAGACGGAAGAAAAGTGTCGTTGCCTGCCATATGCTTTTGTAGGGCGTATGAGTGGTCCAGGGCCGTTGAAATCATCATGATGTCCATTCACTGGCTTGTTGACGTGGATGGCTGTTTGTTATTGTCGTCGAGCTTTCTGTGGGTTCCTATTCAGAAGATGATGACAATAGGTAACCAAACCATGCATGCAGCTCCTTCATGTTGTAAAGCCCCAGCACGGTTAAATATCATGGGTCTTTCCAGCTATACCTCTAAGAACTACCAGAACCAACCACGACTCCTGCTTAGACACTTTACCACTGTTCAGCCAAATCGTCTAGAAAGATTCCACGACATACCAGGCAATATGCAGGGACCGTTACCCCTAACAGTCACAGGCAAAGTCCAGTACATCAGTACTTCGGTAATGGGGACTCTTCCGAGAGCGGCACGCGAGCTTTCGAAGTTCCCCGATCTACAAGAAAAGGCCAAGCACGAATACGAACGGTTCAAGAACTGGGTCGTCATTTCCGGCGCGGAAGACTATGATCACGAGAACTATCTCAACAACCTTGAGCATCGCGTTGAGTATCAGCAGATCAACGACCTGCTCCAACGACTGCACGTGTTCAGCTACGATGGTAAGGGGGCCGGGCAGTGAAAACAATGACCGGGGGCTAACGTTAGAGGCGTTCTTGGACAGTTGAGTACAAAATTAAAACCCACATTTACGATGCGCGGTACAATCAAGACTACCTCCCTAGGGAAATGAGAAGACGAGAGGTACGTAGGAGAACCCATCCTGTGAATGAACAAACAAACAAACCCCTTTGGCAGAACTGAGAATGTAGCTGACATTGTGCTATTCCTTCCAGCCTAAAATGAGTGACGCGGATTTCAAGGAGTTGGTTATTTCCAGGTACATGGCCATTGAGAGGCTCATCGATGAGTGTTATGCTTTCAAGCCGATCGTCTACTAGTTCAAGTGGTGGCTAGAGGAAGTGTGGTGCATTGGCACTGCTCACTCAATGGACGGGACATGTCACACGGACATTCGACCT